TGTTAGCAAAAACACACAACTAAATTTACAATGCGAAGAAAACTGTATTGTTGTTGTCAAGTAGTTATTTTCTCTTTATGCACACAGTCGTCGGCCATGGACACACACTAAAACCCCGATTCAGGTTCATACTGACTGAAGCACTGATAGTCATGCTCACCCTGCCTGTACCGGGGGTGGGGGGGCTGCTTTATATGCCTTTCCTTGGGTTTCTCCAATTTGTGTGACTTCAATTGACATCAACACGGCACATAGGGAAGTGCACTCTTGCAGTCAAGTTTACATTTGGCTGAAGTATTGATTTAACATTAATTATTTTATCACCAGATATTCTCACAGATGCTAGATAAAGATTTGCTGGATTCTCCTGCCAGACAATCATCCTCTTAGCTGGTGTCTCACCCATACATAAAAAATGTGTTTCAATTGATGAATTAAACTAAGAACCGTCAAACAGTTGTCAAATCTATCTTACATCTGACTGACATGAACATATCACGCAGATTGAGAGAGCACCCAGACCTTCAAGGAAAATGGCCTATGTGGTGGAAATGGGCTTTGTGTACAAATAATTCACAGTGAATAAAACACTGATTGGGGCTGCAACAGGAAACTGAAATGTTCTTCCAGACCGACTGCTAGTTCAGACCTGATGCACAGAGCTGCATGTTGTTTTCCTGTGAGCAAAGAAAAAGGCCCAGTTAGTTTGAAGTCAAACTCAATAAACATTGGCTGCAGGACCTTTGGAATTGGATCTAGACTGACCCGTGTTGTAAAGAGAATGATCCACCAGCCTCTGTTCTCATGGAACTGCTGCAGCAGGTATTTTGAGTTGTAAAGACAGAATAATGGGCTACATGGTCAGGTACAAAGATCAAATGTCCCTCGAACACAAGGATTCTATAGCTTGATGAAGTTCCCTACATATTAGAATCTATTTTCACAGGGATTTTAATGAGATCCATGGAGGCTGACACTAGCTTATAAAAACTTTCCACAGCCTCAAATGGTTCCACTTTCTAAGTGTTGCAGATGAACATGCAGTACATCAAGGTCAGCTCTCTGTGAATGAATGAGACGCTCCAGTACCGGTGGAATACTGGTGTAACTGCTACAATGAGACTTCTTTCTGAATTACTGTTCATGTGCACTGGTCATGTAATCTACCTGTTTTATTCTTCAGCATTTAGTTATAGACAACTTAAATGGGGGATGACTTAAACCTTACATCTATAACTCTTGATGGGTATGTGCAAGTTAACAAATATGGAGGTGTTTATTTTGTGATCATGTTTACAGTATATATTCTAATAGTCTGCAGTAATTCTACTGTTTTGTACCTGATCTGGAACCACCAAGACCTCCATGAGCCTATGTACATTTTCATTGCAGCTTTGTTAGTGAACTCTCTTCTTTTCAGCACCGGTATGTATCCCAAACTCCTGACTGACGTTGTATCTGAGCAACAAGTCATATCATATTCAGCCTGTCTCTTCCAGTTTTTTATATTTAATTTTTTAGGCAGCTCAGAGTTCTTACTGTTGGCAGTCATGGCCTATGACAGATATGTGTCTATATGTAAACCTCTGCAATATCCAACTATCATGAAGAAAACCAGTGTGATTATTTTCCTGGCTTTAGCTTGGTTTGTGTCTGCTTGTCATACTACAGTGCCAACAATACTGAGTGCTCAAACTAAACTGTGTAACTTTACTTTGAAAGGAATACTTTGTAACAATGCAATTTACGGGCTTCACTGTGTAGGATCAAGAGTAATTACTATATATGGTGTGGTTGCTTTATTAGATCTGGCAGTACTACCTCTGTTCTTCATAGTTTTCACGTACACAAAGATACTTATTATAGCCCATCGAAGTTCTAGAGAAGTCAGGAAAAAAGCAGCAGAGACCTGTTTACCCCACCTGCTGGTTCTAATCAGTTTCTTCTGTTTGAGTGCATACGATATCATTATAGCTCGAGTAAAATCCAATTTTCCAAAACCTGCACATTTAGTAATGACATTACAAATAGTTTTGTACCATCCTTTGTTTAATCCACTCATATATGGACTCAAAATGAAAGAAATTACTAAACACCTCAAAAGGTTATTTGGTCCAGCTAAAATCATCTGATGCATTAACATTGATTACTGGTGTACAAGCTCTTCTTCTCACATAACCATGCAGCGATGTGCATTTTCCAGTCATTTACAGTATATGAAGTGTTTTTATTGTTGACGGTAAAAGCACTTTTAAGGTTTCAAAATGTGATGTGTACTTAAAATAACTTATTTACTTATGGACATGTGTGATCATTCTCATGTCAAGATTTATAATAAGAAAAATGAAATCAACAAAAAACGATTGGTGTCGTCGTAGTTATTTTCACACCAAGCCAAATGTCAACTATCAAGGGTTCATCTGCCTCAAGACACCACACACACAGAGACTGTTGTAGCAAAAATTGTCTTATCAAGGCTTGGTGAGTGCAAAATAAAAAGACTTGACATCAGCCTGAATGTCATTGTACATTTATTCCTGCAGGAAGGAACAATCTCTGAAAAGAGTAGAGTACTTATAAATAGAGACCTTTACACTATACATACATACATATAAATTCCCCACTTGCCCCCCACTTTGGGCGGTCTTGTATTCCTTCCTTCAAGCCCTGGTCCTCTACCAGAGGCCTGGGAGCTTGAGGGTCTTGCACAGTATCTTAGCTGTTCCTAGGACTGCACTCTTCTGAACAGAGATCTCAGATGTTGTTCCTGGGATCTATTGGAGCCACTCTCCCAGTTTGGGGGTCACAGCCCCCAATGTTCCTATTACCATGGGGACCACTTGTGCCTTCACCTTCCACATCTTTTCTAGCTACTCTTTCAACCCTTGGTATTTCTTGAGCTTCGCATGTTCCTTCTTCCTGTTGTGGCTATCACATGGGATTGCTACATCTATCACTTCTTCTTCTGTTTGTCCACCACTACTATGTCCGGTTGGTTGGCCATCGGTTGTCAGTTTGTATCTGGAAGTCCCACAGGATCTTAACTTGGTCATTCTCAACCACCTTTGGAGGTGTATCCCATTTTGACTTTGGGACTTCCAGCCTGTACTCGGCACAGATGTTTCTGTACACTATGCCAGCCACTTGGTTATGGCGTTCCATGTATGCCCTGCCTACTAGTATCTTGCACCCGCTGTTATGTGCTGGATTGTCTCAGGGGCATCTTTGCACAACCTGCATCGGGTCCTGTCTGGTATGGTAGACCCCGGCCTCTATTGATCTTGTACTTAGAGCTTGTTCTTGTGCTGCCAAGATTATTACCTCTGTGTTGTCTTTCAGTCCAGCTTTGTCTAGCCACTGGTAGGAATTTTCCTACCAGACACCTCTACTATTTGACGGTGGTACATACCGTGCAGGGGTTTGTCCTTCCATGAGGGTTCCTGCTCTTCCTTCTCTTGTTCCTCTGGTTTCTGCTGCCTGAGGTATTCACCAAGCACGTCATCACTTGGGGCCATCCCTGTGGGGTGCCAATGTTCGTGCTAATGCTGGCTGAAGTCTTGTTGCCAATCCTGACAGTCTGGGGTCTGCCAGTCAGAAAGTCCAGGAGCCAGTCACAGAGGGTGGGGTGCAGACTCAGTGTGGACAGTTTGTGGGGGATAACTGTGTTGAAGGCGGAGCTGTAGTCAATGAAGAGTATCCTGATGTAGGAGTCTCCATTTTCCAGGTGATAAAAGGAATAGTGGAGGGCAGCTGTGATGGCGTCTGAGGTGGCCCTGTTGGGCCGGTAGGCACCGGGTGTCCGGTATACTGCTCTGGATGTGGGTCAGCATCACTCTCTCAAAACACTTCATAGTGATTGGTGTGAGTGCAACCGGCCTGTAGTCGTTCAGGCAGGTGACCGGGCTTTCTTGGGAAGGGGGACAATGGTTGTGGTCTTCAAGCAGGTGGGAATGATGCTCTGGCTGAGGGAGAGGATGAAGATGCTGGTGAGAACATCAGACAGCTAGCTGGTACATGCCCTGAGAGCCCTCCCAGGGATGCTGTCCAGTCCTGCTGCTTTGCAAGGGTCTATCTTTCTCAGGACTGTGCGTACCTGGCCTGGTGAGACAGTTAGTGGAGGGGAGGTGGGCAGTTGGGTGGTCCAGGTGTGTACGTGCTTCCTCTCTGTGCTGTAGATGGAGGTCTCAAAGTGGGTGTAGAAGGTATTGAGGCTATCTGGCAGGCTGTCTGTGGAGCTGATGATGCTGGTGGTGGGCCTGTAGTCTGTGATTTACTGCAGGCCTTGCCACATTTGTCCGGAGTCAGCAGTAGAATAGAAGCCATTCAGCTTCTCTCTGTACTGCTTCTTGGCTGCTGTGATGGCTTTCCTCAGTCTGTACTTTGCAGCTTTGTACTCTGTCTCATTGCCTGATCTGAATGCATGAGAGCAATCGTACCTAACTGTTTATCCAGGGCTTCTGGTTGGGAAACCTCCTGACTTGTATGGTGGGCACAATGTTGTCAATACGGGTACTCAGTGGTGGGCAGTCAGGGCCAGCAAGGCCTTCTCTGCTGGCCTAAACACTATCAGAAGCACTGACCTATATTTACAACCTAAATTCTAATATTTGTTCCATGAAATTGTATTAATTTATTCTCAACAGTCTATTCTCTTAATTTTGTAGTGTTTCTCTTCCAGTATGTGCATGTGGATGTTAGATTTGTTTGTCCAATCAGATTTCAGCCTCTGTGTGTTGCCATGTCAATCTAATCTGCCCAGGGCCTTCAGAATCAGTAGTGCTGGCAGATGTAATTTAAACTGTATTAGCAATGGGACTGTTTCTTTAACCAATCAGATTTCAAATTCGCCTCACACACACAATGACATCAGCATTTTTCCGTCCTCTGATTGGTTGATCAGAGAAAAAAAAAATAGAAAAGGACTTACTAATGGAACTGAAACGCAGAGATCACCTCCATGAGGATGGATTTTGTCTATAAATAAATAGTATCTCTGGTGAGTATGATGTATTTAATTTAAATTGATGGTTTCTATAATTTCGATGTGATAGTGGTGGTATTAAGAGGTGAATTAAGTCGGTTAAGTCCCCACTGAAGGCCCAGGTACAAAATGCATGGCCCGCAGGTACTAATGTACCCAGTCACATACTCAGCATAGTCCTGTATGCTGACAGAAAAGTCCTCTGAGGTGGCTGCAGCTTTAAACATATCCCAGTCTGTCTGGGCAAAACAGTCCAGCAGGGTCCCTTCAGTCTCTGGGGTCCAGAGTTTAATTTGTTTAGTGACAGGCTTTGTTTGTTTCAGTCTGTCTGTAAGATGGATAGGGGAACAAAGAAATGTGGTCTGAGCATCCAAGGTGGGGGTGGGGTGCAGCCCTGTATGCACCACGTGTGTTACTGTAAACATAATCTAAAGTGTTTTTGCCCTGGGTGGGAATGTTCACATGTTGGTAATATTAGGGAAATACAGTCCATAAATTGCACTGATTAAAGTCGCCTACCATCGAGGGATTAGCTCTTGGGCTAACATACACATGCATTCTAGGTATAGCATTTTAATTATTTTTCTCTCTCTTCCAGCTCCTCTTGCTTTTTTTTCTCTTTCTCCTTGAAATCAAATTCTGCTTCCCATTCATCCACCACCACATATTGTGCATTCTCCTTCATTCCCTCCCTGCAGGAGTCTGCTGGTTCCATTGTGGAATAGAGTACAGGGGAATGATAGGGGAATACAGGTTTGCCATCAACACTCTATGAAGCCTTCTTCCTGCACTGGTACACTGAAAAAAAAGATTTGTTGGATTTACTTGATTGTAATGTGTACATTGGTCCCACACAATGATAATGTGTAAAACCAACATAATTTTCTTTAGGGGTTAACTTGTTTGAATTATGTTAACAAAGGAAATATGAATGAATTGCGTTGCATACACTAGCATAATTTGTGTAAGTCCAAAGACCCGGTAAATCCTTTTTTTCAGTGTATAATCTCCATTACAAATTCTGTTCCCTCTGTCTCATGCAACTCATTGTCATCTTATTTTGGCTTATACTCTCCTTATACTTGTCTTCCTTGAATAATGGCCATTCTAGTATTTCTTGTAAGCATTTTTGTTGTTCTTGTGGGACTTCTAACTGTAAAGAGACAATTTGTTCAATGGTCTCCTGCAGCTCCTCCTGTAAGGTCATTTCTGGTACCGGATCATCAAAGGCCAACATTGCTTTAATGTAGTGATGGGCGGATCTATCTAACGTATTGATAGTATCGCTATCCATCAATACTCGCGTGATGGGATTGATACTTGCATATCAGTTTCTCTTTTCTACATTGAGTACACAACCTCCGTTACACCATAGTGGTTGTGCAAACACTGCTCCTCTAGTGATGGCCGTCTGACATCGATCCCCCGAAACTCGAAGCAGCATTTTCCTTGAACCCCAAAGCTTGCTTTGGTGCAGAAAAAGACGGTGACCTAACTCTATTAAGAAAATGAATTACTGTAAGAACATCATAATCCTCTCAACTCTGACAGCCTGGTGGAAAGCAAACAAAATCACTAAATCATCACTTGCACCACATACTGTAGATACACTCCAATTTGGCAAAACCCTGATTTCCAACTGCATAATAACCCAATCTATTTCCCAACATGGCATCACAAAGGAATCACTCACTTACATCACTTATTTGAAAATAACAAGTTCATATCATTTAATACACTGATCTAGAAGTACGGAGTTCAGAGAGAACAGTTCCTCCAGTACAATCAACTAAAATCCATAATTAGTTCAAAGATTAGTGTAATCAATAACCCACTACAACCCTCTAAATTAACTGAAGAAATTATGAAAATTACATCCTCCAAGAAAATAATATCCAAGCTATTTAAACTCGTATCAAAGATTCAACAATGACAATACCAAAACTCAAATGGGATAACAATTTAACTCTCTCCCTCAACCTCTGGACAGAAATTTGCAATAGCCTCTTTTCTATGACCAGCAATGTAAACTTACAACTTATACAATACAAGACCATCTACAGGACCCATATTACACAAAGTAAACTGTTCAAAATGAGCTTCACTGACACAGACATCTGCTCACAATGCACTTTAGGTTGCACCGACAAT